GTCAGTTCTAGTCAGTTCTAGTTCAGTTCTAGTTCAGTCTAGTTCAGTTCTAGTTCAGTTCTAGTTCAGTTCTAGTTCAGTTCTAGTTCAGTTCTAGTTCAGTTCTAGTTCAGTTCTAGTTCAGTTCTAGTTCAGTTCTAGTTCAGTTCTAGTTCAGTTCTAGTTCAGTTCTAGTTCAGTTCTAGTTCAGTTCTAGTTCAGTTCTAGTTCAGTTCTAGTTCAGTTCTAGTTCAGTTCTAGTTCAGTTCTAGTTCAGTTCTAGTTCAGTTCTAGTTCAGTTCTAGTTCAGTTCTAGTTCAGTTCTAGTTCAGTTCTAGTTCAGTTCTAGTTCAGTTCTAGTTCAGTTCTAGTTCAGTTCTAGTTCAGTTCTAGTTCAGTTCTAGTTCAGTTCTAGTTCAGTTCTAGTTCAGTTTCTAGTTCAGTTCTAGTTCGTTCTAGTTCAGTTCTAGTTCAGTTCTAGTTCAGTTTCTAGTTCAGTTCTAGTTCAGTTCTAGTTCATTTCTAGTTCAGTTCTAGTTCAGTTCTAGTTCAGGTTCTAGTTCAGTTCTTAGTTCAGTTCTAGTTCAGTTCTAGTTCAGTTTCTAGTTCAGGTTCTAGTTCAGTTCTAGTTCAGTTCTAGTTCAGTTCTAGTTCAGTTCTAGTTCAGTTCTAGTTCAGTTCTAGTTCAGTTCTAGTTCAGTTCTAGTTCAGTTCTAGTTCAGTTCTAGTTCAGTTCTAGTTCAGTTCTAGTTCAGTTCTAGTTCAGTTCTAGTTCAGTTCTAGTTCAGTTCTAGTTCAGTTCTAGTTCAGTTTAGTTCAGTTCTAGTTCAGTTCTAGTTCAGTTCTTCAGTTCTAGTTCAGTTCTAGTTCAGTTCTAGTTCAGTTCTAGTTCAGTTCTAGTTCAGTTCTAGTTCAGTTCTAGTTCAGTTCTAGTTCAGTTCTAGTTCAGTTCTAGTTCAGTTCTAGTTCAGTTCTAGTTCAGTTCTAGTTCAGTTCTAGTTCAGTTCTAGTTCAGTTCTAGTTCAGTTCTAGTTCAGTTCTAGTTCAGTTCTAGTTCAGTTCTAGTTCAGTTCTAGTTCAGTTCTAGTTCAGTTCTAGTTCAGTTCTAGTTCAGTTCTAGTTCAGTTCTAGTTCAGTTCTAGTTCAGTTCTAGTTCAGTTTAGTTCAGTTCTAGTCAGTTCTAGTTCAGTTCTAGTTCAGTTCTAGTTCAGTTCTAGTTCAGTTCTAGTTCAGTTCTAGTTCAGTTCTAGTTCAGTTCTAGTTCAGTTCTAGTTCAGTTCTAGTTTCAGTTCTAGTTCAGTTCTAGTTCAGTTCTAGTTCAGTTCTAGTTCAGTTCTAGTTCAGTTCTAGTTCAGTTCTAGTTCAGTTTCTAGTTCAGTTCTAGTTCAGTTCTAGTTCAGTTCTAGTTCAGTTCTAGTTCAGTTCTAGTCAGTTCTAGTTCAGTTCTAGTTCAGTTCTAGTTCAGTTCTAGTTCAGTTCTAGTTTCAGTTCTAGTTCAGTTCTAGTTCAGTTCTAGTTCAGTTCTAGTTCAGTTCTAGTTCAGTTCTAGTTCAGTTCTAGTTCAGTTCTAGTTCAGTTCTAGTTCAGTTCTAGTTCAGTTCTAGTTCAGTTCTAGTTCAGTTCTAGTTCAGTTCTAGTTCAGTTCTAGTTCAGTTCTAGTTCAGTTCTAGTTCAGTTCTAGTCAGTTCTAGTTCAGTTCTAGTTCAGTTCTAGTTCCAGTTCCTAGTTTCAGTTCTTAGTTCAGTTCTAGTTTCAGTTCTAGTTCAGTTCTAGTTCAGTTCTAGTTCAGTTCTAAGTTCAGTTCTAGTTCAGTTCTAGTTCAGTTCTAGTTCCGTTCTAGCTCAGTTCTAGTCAGTTCTAGTTCAGTTCTAGTTCAGTTCTTAGTTCAGTTCTAGTTTCAGTTCTAGTTCAGTTCTCGATTCAGTTCTAGTTCAGTTCTAGTTCAGTTCTAGTTCAGTTCTAGTTCAGTTCTAGTTCAGTTCTGAGTTCAGTTTCTAGTTCAAGTTCTAGTTCAGTTCTAGTTCAGTTCTAGTTTCAGTTCTTAGTTCAGTTCTAGTTCAGTTCTTAGTTCAGTTCTAGTTCAGTTCTAGTTCAGTTCTAGTTCAGTTCTAGTTCAGTTCTAGTTCAGTTCTAGTTCAGATTCTGGTTCGTTCTGGTTCATTTCAGTTCAGTTCTAGTAAGATCTAGTTTAATTATATATTTTGATTCAATCACGTTTTTGCGCACTGTTCTTAATGATGAAGATGTTTTGAAATTATTGGTAGCAAATTAAATTTTGAGACTTAATTCCCAAAATGCTTAACATTTTTATGCATAACAAACCCCAAAAATTATAATTTATTGCAAATAACTCATTTTTTCTTCAACACCACTCCATAGTGCAAGCATTGGCCCACCAATGGCAATTTATATGTTTTTATTTTTCTTTTGCTTTAACACCACTTCATAGTGCAAACATTGACCCACCAATAGCAAATTATTTGTTTTTTTTTTTTCCATCATCATCTGTTTATTATAACTTTCACCTTGAAATTTATATGAATTTAATTCATTCGTATTGAATTCATGAGTTCAGCCTTAAAAGTTTTCCAAATTAAAGTTAAGCCATAAAAGAAATATAAATATGTTTATTATTTTTCTCATTTTTTAACATCTTATAAAGAAGTGTGTATATACCATAGAAGTATTAGGTATTCTTGTTACAATTTTAATTTTGTCTTGTTTTTTCTTCTGATTTCTTTCCAGGCACGAGTTTATTTACTGTCAGCTGGGTTCTCGTTGGCCTTCGGTTCAATGTTTGCCAAAACATATCGTGTTCATCGTATTTTCACACGCACCGGCAGTGTTTTCAAGGATAAAATGCTACAGGATATTCAACTTATTTTATTGGTGTGCGGCCTGTTGCTGGTCGATGGTCTTGTTGTCACCTTGTGGGTTGTCACTGATCCCATGGAACGGCATTTGCATAATTTAACATTGGAAATCAGCAATATAGATCGAAGTGTTGTCTACCAGCCGCAGGTGAATACAAATATTCATACATTTCCCTTTCTCACAAACACACACATACACACAAATGCTAATACATTCATTTATATGAATATATTATTCGTGTCTCACAACCTCCATTTCTCCTCCTCCTCCACAAAAACAACAACATTATGAAAGGTCCTTGTAAAAGTGTTATATGTCAAGTGTTTTGTGTCTGAGTATTTGTTTTCATTTGTGCGTAAAGTGTCAGTTTGGCGTTGGCAGGATTTTGACTTGTCATTTTGCAAGCGTTATGAAGGGGGATGGTATAATCGGGGTCTCGGTTTATTGGTTTATAAATTTGTAAATGACTTTGTTTGTGTTTTGTGTTGTTGGTTCTTGCTTTGTTTGTCTTTTGTCCATATCCATTTGGGAATGTTTTCGTTGTTGATATTGACTGTTTTGTATTCGTATTTGAGTTGTCGTTTTATTTTATACTCCATCTCTTTTGCTTGTTTGTTGACTTTTCAATTAGATTGCAACAGAAAACTGTAAATGAAATTGCTTTAAATTTAATGGCAAATAAGATTTTATTGGATTTCTTTTGAATACGTTTTTAATAAAATCATTATGAATATTTTATGATTTTATATTTCAATTAACAGTTGTTGGTTTAAGACTTTAAGGTCGCGGTAAATCAATATTGCTCCATATGTTTATTAAAAGTTTATACAAAAAATTAAGTAATTGCAATTAAATGTAAACATAGAGAATATACATGTCAATTGAAACAAAACTTTGCACACATTATGTTTCCTATTAGCATTTGAACTTACTAAATGCCGGTAATTATTTGTTTGCTTAAATGCATGACAGATTTCTTCCATCATTTTTAATCTTTCAGTATCTTTAATCTAAACATGAAATGTCTAAAAGTAATCCACAAGTAGCATGGACTATTTGTATTCTTATATCCTACATAACTAAACTGTTATTATACATATGAACCTACACCCAGCTTAAAAGTGAACTAAAATGAAAATGAAAAATGAACTAGAACTGAACTAGAACTGAACTAGAACTGAACTAGAACTGAACTAGAACTGAACTAGAACTGAACTAGAACTGAACTAGAACTGAACTAGAACTGAACTAGAACTGAACTAGAACTGAACTAGAACTGAACTAGAACTGAACTAGAACTGAACTAGAACTGAACTAGAACTGAACTAGAACTGAACTAGAACTGAACTAGAACTGAACTAGAACTGAACTAGAACTGAACTAGAACTGAACTAGAACTGAACTAGAACTGAACTAGAACTGAACTAGAACTGAACTAGAACTGAACTAGAACTGAACTAGAACTGAACTAGAACTGAACTGAACTAGAACTGAACTAGAACTGAACTAGAACTGAACTAGAACTGAACTAGAACTGAACTAGAACTGAACTAGAACTGAACTAGAACTGAACTAGAACTGAACTAGAACTGAACTAGAACTGAACTAGAACTGAACTAGAACTGAACTAGAACTGAACTAGAACTGAACTAGAACTGAACTAGAACTGAACTAGAACTGAACTAGAACTGAACTAGAACTGAACTAGAACTGAACTAGAACTGAACTAGAACTGAACTAGAAATGAACTAGAACTGAACTAGAACTGAACTAGAACTGAACTAGAACTGAACTAGAACTGAACTAGAACTGAACTAGAATGAACTAGAATGAACTAGAACTGAACTAGAACTGAACTAGAACTGAACTAGAACTGAACTAGAACTGAACTAGAACTGAACTAGAACTGAACTAGAACTGAACTAGAACTGAACTAGAACTGAACTAGAACTGAACTAGAACTGAACTAGAACTGAACTAGAACTGAACTAGAACTGAACTAGAACTGAACTAGAACTGAACTAGAACTGAACTAGAACTGAACTAGAACTGAACTAGAACTGAACTAGAACTGAACTAGAACTGAACTAGAACTGAACTAGAACTGAACTAGAACTGAACTAGAATTGAACTAGAACTGAACTAGAACTGAACTAGAACTGAACTACAACTGAACTATTTCACACTAACACATTCGCGAGCAATAAAAAAACTAAGGGTATTTAAAATGCGTTACAACCCTATGCACTAGTCAAACTGATTTCCCTTATTTCTTCGTAACTTTTCACCATTACATTTCGTTTTCTTTTCAGGTTGAAGTCTGTCGTTCGCAACACACACAAACCTGGCTAGGAGCCTTATACAGCTATAAGGGTCTTTTGCTGGTTGTTGGTGTCTATATGGCCTGGGAAACACGTCACGTGAAAATACCAGCTCTCAATGATTCACAATACATTGGAGTGTCAGTGTACAGTGTTGTCATAACAAGTGGCATTGTAGTGGTTTTGGCAAATCTTATATCCGAACGTGTTACATTGGCTTTCATAACGATAACAGCATTAATACTCACCTCAACAACAGCCACTTTATGTTTGCTTTTTATACCCAAATTGCATGACATATGGGGGAGAAGTAAGTTGAAATAAGAAATTCGTTTCTTTTTTTATTTAGGAATTTTTCCCCTTTCTTAAGTTTTTCTTTTTAATTTAATACATTTTTTATTTTTTGTTTTAAATTATTTTAGATGATGTTGTTGATCCAGTTATCCATAGCATGGGTTTAAAAATGGAGTGTAATACCCGCAGATTTGTGTTAGATGATCGGCGAGAATTACAATATAGAGTGGAAGTACAAAATCGGGTATACAAAAAGGAAATAGCAAATTTAGATGCTGAAATTAAGAAACTGGAAAAAATGCTAGAATCTGGTACAGCTTCAACGACTACTTCATCGTCTACATCTATATTTGCGGCATTAAAGGTGAGTTTGCTAAATAAGAAAATTGCATTTAAAAGTTATGCTGAAACATTCCAAACATTTTTATATTAATTTCATTCCTTTGTTCTGAAAACCGAAAATATGTATTTTTGTATGATTTCCAGCCTGAAGTAACCTTTACCAGCGACACTTTCACCCACCTGCCAGCTCCTAGTCATGGTAGTAAGTCACGCACACCCAGCATATCAGGAATTTTACCGAATCTTTTACTCTCGGTACTACCACCCGTAATACCCAGAGCTAGCTGGCCTTCGGCCGAGTATATGCAAATACCCATGAGAAAATCGGTAACATTTGCCTCTCAACCACACCTTGAAGATCGTACCATAGCCGAGTCATGTTTGCCGGCACAAGATCTACTAAATTTGCGTTTAGCCCACCAACATGCCACCGAAGCGAAAACCGGTTTAATCAATAGATTACGCGGCATATTTACACGCACACAATCTAGTAATAAGGGTTCTTTAGCTAGTCTAGCAGATCAGAAAGGCATTAAGGCTGCTCTGAAAACACACATGGGTCTTTTCACCCGTCTCATACCCTCCTCTCAAACAGCCTCCTGTAATGCCATTTATAGTGAACGTAAATCGGAAGTAGATTTATGTCTTCATCAGACGGGAGACAATAATCTAAAACCGCTTAAACGTAAGTCTTTAGCCAAAAGTGGTACACATTTAGATGTAACACCCATAGATCCTAATTTTCTACCCATACCCACCATATCAGCTGAGACTATAGATATAGCTCAGCAGTGTCAGACACCCTATCAACCGCAACACACACAGTCCACCTTTAATGTACCCATAATAGAAGTAGAAAATAAGTATATTTTGGAACCCGAAACTAAAGTTAATTTTCAATTACCCGCCAATCGTAGACCATCTATAGCTCAAATTCATCCCTCACTAAGGGAAAGAGTAAAAGGTTCGCCTAGATTTCCTCATAGGGTACTACCAATTGCCAGTAGTTTAAGTGCCCTGGAGGAAACCAACGATCGGGGTACAGCGAAGGGTAGAATGTCTTTGAAAAGAGCTTCTATTGTGGGTAATTGGAAATCGATGGAGGTTTCGTCGGGCACTAGACTTTCTTTAACCGATTCTCACGATGATATGCGCAAAATGGAAAATATAACGGTGGAAATTAATAATAAGGGTAAGGAGGATATTATAACGGTGGAAATAACGCATGTTACTGAGGATTAGGAAATATTAATATGTTAATCCTTTTATTAAATTTTATTTTTTTTTATATCAAAAATTCTAATTTTTCTGAATTTTGGATAAGTTACAAAATATTGACACTCGTGACTAATTTAAAAATATCTGAGATTTTATATTTATAAAATATAAATTAATTTCCAATTCGATCCATTTTTCCATCTGTCATATGTGAAGAAAAAAATTCTCTTATTTGCGGAAATGAGAGCACGATAGAAAGCAATCATGATTTTACTTTATATCTTATATATTTTCGGCAGAGAGCTCTTTTATTTCTCAAAACTGCTCTTTTAAACCAAATATAGGCAAAGTGCTCTCTTATGAGCTTTCTTACTGTCATCAATAGATGAGTATATTTACCATTTTGTATCGATGTTTGCTTTAAAACAATAATGGTAATCTGAGTATGAGAATAGTTATCATCGATTATTTAAATAATAAGAAGTCTAATTTTAAGTGAATGATTAACACTAACTAGTGATAAGCAAACAACTCTCTTCTTAATTGCATTGCTCTCTCCCATCCGAGAGCTTACGTACGTATAGCAAGCACGGAAAACTGAAGTTTTAAAATAGTACCAAGACTAGACTAGAATAGTAACAAGACTAGACTAGACTATAGATAGACTATAGACTAGACTATAGACTAGACTATAGACTAGACTATAGACTAGACTATAGACTAGACTATAGACTAGACTATAGACTAGACTATAGACTAGACTATAGACTAGACTAGACTATAGACTAGACTATAGACAGAACCTATAGCCTAGACCTATAGACTAGACTATAGACTAGACTATAGACTAGACTATAGACTAGACTATAGACTAGACTATAGACTAGACTATAGGACTAGACTATAGACTAGGACTATAGACTAGACCTTATGACTAGACTATAGACTAGACTATAGACTAGACTATAGACTAGACTATAGACTAGACTATGACTAGACTATAGACTAGACTATAGACTAGACTATAGACTAGACTATAGACTAGACTATAGACTAGACTATAGACTAGACTATAGACTAGACTATAGACTAGACTATAGACTAGACTATAGACTAGACTATAGACTAGACTATAGACTAGACTATAGACTAGACTATAGACTAGACTATAGACTAGACTATAGACTAGACTATAGACTAGACTATAGACTAGACTATAGATATACTACTATAGACTAGACTATAGACTAGACTATAGACTAGACTATAGACTAGACTATAGACTAGACTATAGACTAGACTATAGACTAGACCTATAGACTAGACTATAGACTAGACTATAGACTAGACTATAGACTAGACCTATAGACTAGACTATAGACTAGACTATAGACTATAGACTACTAGACTAGACTATAGACTAGACTATAGACTAGACTATAGACTAGACTATAGACTAGACTATAGACTAGACTATAGACTAGACTATAGACTAGACTATAGACTAGACTATAGACTAGACTATAGACTAGACTATAGACTAGACTATAGACTAGACTATAGACTAGACTATAGACTAGACTATAGACTAGACTATAGACTAGACTATAGACTAGACTATAGACTAGACTATAGACTAGACATAACTAGACTAGACTATAGACTAGACTATAGACTAGACTATAGACTAGACTATAGACTAGACTATAGACTAGACTAGAGACTAGACTATAGACTAGACTATAGGACTAAGGCTATAGACTAGACTATAGACTAGACTATAGACTAGACTATAGAAGACCTAGACTATAGACTAGACTATAGACTAGACTATAGACTAGACTATCGACTAGACTATAGACTAGACTAAGACTAACTAGACTAGACTTAGACTGACTATAGACTAGACTATAGACTAGACTATAGACTAGACTATAGATAGACTATAGACTAGACTATAGACTAGACTATAGACTAGACTATAGACTAGACTATAGACTAGACTATAGACTAGACTATAGACTAGACTATAGACTAGACTATAGACTAGACTATAGACTAGACTATAGACTAGCTATGACTAGACTATAGGACTAGACTATAGACAGACTATAGGACTAGACTATAGACTAGACTATAGACTAGACTATAGACTAGACTATAGACTAGACATAACTAGACTATAGACTAGACTATAGACTAGACTATAGACTAGACTATAGACTAGACTATAGACTAGACTATAGACTAGACTATAGACTAGACTATAGACTAGACTATAGACTAGACTATAGACTAGACTATAGACTAGACTATAGACTAGACTATAGACTAGACTATAGACTAGACTATAGACTAGACTATAGACTAGACTATAGACTAGACTATAGACTAGACTATAGACTAGACTATAGACTAGACTATAGACTAGACTATAGACTAGACTATAGTCTAGTCTATAGTCTATAGTCTAGTCTATAGTCTAGACTAGTCTATAGTCTAGACTAGTCTATAGTCTAGTCTATAGTCTAGACTAGTCTATAGTCTAGTCTATATTACTATAGACTAGACAATAGACTAGACTATAGTCTAGTCTATAGTCTAGTCTATAGTCTAGTCTATAGTCTAGTCTATAGTCTAGTCTATAGTCTAGTCTATAGTCTAGTCTATAGTCTAGTCTATAGTCTAGTCTATAGTCTAGTCTATAGTCTAGTCTATAGTCTAGTCTATAGTCTAGTCTATAGTCTAGTCTATAGTCTAGTCTATAGTCTAGTCTATAGTCTAGTCTATAGTCTAGTCTATAGTCTAGTCTATAGTCTAGTCTATAGTCTAGTCTATAGTCTAGTCTATAGTCTAGTCTATAGTCTAGTCTATAGTCTAGTCTATAGTCTAGTCTATAGTCTAGTCTATAGTCTAGTCTATAGTCTAGTCTATAGTCTAGTCTATAGTCTAGTCTATAGTCTAGTCTATAGTCTAGTCTATAGTCTAGTCTATAGTCTAGTCTATAGTCTAGTCTATAGTCTAGTCTATAGTCTAGTCTATAGTCTAGTCTATAGTCTAGTCTATAGTCTAGTCTATAGTCTAGTCTATAGTCTAGTCTATAGTCTAGTCTATAGTCTAGTCTATAGTCTAGTCTATAGTCTAGTCTATAGTCTAGTCTATAGTCTAGTCTATAGTCTAGTCTATAGTCTAGTCTATAGTCTAGTCTATAGTCTAGTCTAGGATTTTTGGAAATTCGAAAATTTAGGGGTGAAAAGGGGGTTAAAACGGGTAAATTCGGTTACCTAATATCTCCTAAAAAAAGATGATATACAATTTATCATTGTATATGCAAACAATAAACAAAGTGGTATCTGGTACTTTTCGATTCAGTTGCCTTTATGAATAAGCGGGTAAAAACTTCATTTTCGTACTTGTTTAGGCTTCATTAAATCTTTTTAACCAGTAAACTTAGAAGTAAGATTTGCATCACATTCGTAACTTATGGAAATATTACAAATATAAATTTAGTACTCTTGCAAAATTCGGACGAAAAAAATGGGAATTTTAATTTTGTTCAAACTAATTGAGCTAATTTGAATTAAATTTTACAAATTGCTGGCTTTAGTTACACCAAATGGTATGCTTGGATTTTGGATTCCAAGCCCTACTTAGATCCAAATTCGGGTGAATAATTTGGTACTTTTAAAACGTACTTTTCCTGCAAATGCAAAGTACTTTCCACAAACGAAGAATTTAGAAGAATTTTAACATTATTAATCCATATTAATATAGAAGAGATAAAACGGAACTTTCTGGTACTTTCTGGTGGAACTTTCTGGTACTTTTTGGTGGCATCTAAAGATGGACTATACGTTCTTCAATGGTACTCTAAAACCGAAGCAAAGAGAGTTTATAGCAACAAAAATGTATAAGAAATTTATGAGAGTTTTCACACTATAACCCATTAATATATTCGTAATCCAAATGTCTATTTAATTTAACTTCGATAAGGGTGCTTAAACCCCCTGGTTACGCTAGTGTTATATACAAAATTTTTTAAAATTATAATTTTTTCTATACTATCCTGTTTTATGAAAAAGATTATGTTTTTTAGTTCTCTATGGATGATAGCATTTTCCTCATTTGTATATCTTAAACCATTTCAACTGTGTGCCAAATAAAAACTTAACTTCCTTAGTTTAGATTTAACTTTATACAAAATTTAGTTAAAACAACTTAGGAAATCATTAAAAAAAACTTAAACATAAAACTCATAACAATTGACCAATCTAGTAATGAAAAAAAAACTGTAACCAAAAAAACATAATAATACAGCTCTAAGCTAAAAATTATTTTATAAAATAAATTTAAGCAAAATAACAAAAACATTAAGACATTTCATTAAATATAAGTAGCAAACATTTTATTTAGTTATAAGTAGAAAAAGAAAAACAAAAACCACTTCCTAAAAAAACAAACAAAAACTAAGAAAGCGATTTAAGTCAATCATAAAAGTAGAGAAAAACTCTTTGAAAAATAAAATTAACACAATATGGAAACTTGAAAGAAGAAAATCTCCAACACAAGCAATTATATGAAAGGAAACCAAAAGGAAAAATATAATAAATATGAAAACTAAGCAATAATTTATTACAAAAAAAAAGAATTTAAACTGAAACGGTTGATGTGTTTAAGAAAAAAAAAAAAAAAAAAAAACTAAGAAAACCAAAGAAAGATGTGTACCTTTTCCCCAAAATTAAGCGTAAGCCTAAAAACAAAATTTTAAAAATAACGAAAAAAATAACCATAAAAAGAAACAACAAATTTGTAAAAATTAATGAATGTCAATATTAGAAAAAATGAAGAGAAACAAAGAAAATTAAGTGTTATTTTATGGGCATTAATTCAAGCGACTACTTCCGCCGGAAATGGTCGATTTAATAACAAGGAACATTTTTTTTAAATAAAACCTCTGTGGGTTTTAATTTTTTATTTTCTAAGGCTTTTATGTTTTCTTTATATTCATTTTATTACCTCATTAGTCTTGTTCATTTCATTAAGTAATCTGCAAAGTTTACATTTTTAAATCTTTTTCAAATCATTAAAAATTTTAACTACTCTCTTTGTCGTCCACTGCTTTAACTTCATGGCTAGTAAAGGCCTTATATAATCTAGATATCGTTTTATTTTATATTGAACAATTCTTATTCTGTTTGTAACGCATCGAAAAACTGGTCTAAGACACATAATAGTTCTGGGTCCTTATCATATTTTAAGGCGGTCTTGCTATATCCGTCCATCTGTCTGTTGAAATCAAAAGAAAGTCCAAATTGAAGGATTTTGATTATATAATATAGTCTATAGTCTAGTCTAGTAGTCTAGTCTATAGTCTAGTCTATAGTCTAGTCTATAGTCTATTAGTCTAGTCTATAGTCTAGTAGTCTAGTCTATAGTCTAGTCTATAGTCTAGTCTATAGTCTAGTCTATAGTCTAGTCTATAGTCTAGTCTATAGTCTATAGTCTATAGTCTAGTCTATAGTCTAGTCTATAGTCTAGTCTATAGTCTAGTCTATAGTCCTAGTCTATAGTCTAGTCTATAGTCTAGTCTATGTCTAGTCTATAGTCTAGTCTAT